CCACTAGATTTTGCACGGATGTGGAGGAGGAGGATTCAAATATCCTTTTGACTTAAGGGAGTGACATCTAGCAGGGCAGCAGTAACAATTATCCATCCACTTTTCTTTTTTTTTTTTTAACCATTTAGACTCACATTCGCTTCATTACCTTTAGATCAGGGACATTTTTTCAATTAAGTGTAATTCAAAGAGTTTGAAAAACTTCTCTTTAAATTCTGATAATGATTCTCCTCTGCTTCTGTATCAGACACATCAGTTTTCACATTGAGAAAAGCTGCCTTCTGCAATGCAAGGTCACCTGAATCACGTTCATTTAGGAACTGAATTTTACCTTTAATATATCTCTCTCCTTCATCCATGATGGAAAAGGAATGCCTTGGTTGAATATCTGAAAAAGCACTGCTCTTAGTACACAATAGTTGTCCCTCCTGACTTGTCGCAGGTATTTGATATGATGGCTCCAATACAATTCTTCATATGCCTAGCAAAAGACCAAAAAAATTAGCAATAAACATTTTAAATCTCGGACCAAACCCATGTTGAATTGGAATCCAATTCCAAACTACTCGTAAGAGGGAGCTAGAGGAAAGAGCAAGTATATTTATAAGTTTTGTGTACAAAAAAAATATTCTAACTTCATAGGTTTTGTAAACGCCTTACACTAGCACTGCCCCTTACGAGTAATTCTACACTCTCTCCAAACCCAGCAACTTGCTCCAGTCTCTGCACTGTTGCTAGTGTAAACATTCAGATGGTCAACTGAAGCAGAACAGATCAGTGAAGACTTCTCTGCCATAATAGCTTTAACCCCGACCACTTCACAACTTGTGCTGACAGATGGGATGGAGCAGCTAAAGGGCAGGAACAAGCATCTGGAGAAAACTCCTTTTGTCAGAAACATCTTGCACTGACCTGAATCCATTGTGCAATGGTGACCTGAGGCTACACAGATCTAGCAGCTTGGTGCTGAAGCAGATGGCCCTTCTTCCAGCTACACACTCCCTGTATTTCATCTGCATTACCTCTGGCTATCATCTGAGGCCTCATCGAGACATTTTGTGTCAATAAACTGGCAGAGAACTAACTCAGAAAGAGGACTCTGCAGTTACAGAGGCTGTTGCATCAGTCTCGGTTTGCGTCCTGAAGGGGGCAGGAAGATGGTCTCAATTCCTGGTCCTCTTTCACCTCAGTTGCTTCCTCACCCCATCCCAACACCACTTGGCTGCACAGTCTCCCCTGCTCTTACTTTGCATTGGCTGTGATAATTGTAAGCACACTGAATCCTTCCTGCTGCTTCAGCAAGCTCAGGTGTCTCTACCAGCTCACCACCTTGGTGAACCACATGCAACAAAAGACGTAAGAGCCAGCACAAAAAAAGCAGAGGGACTGTTTAGCTAGAATGAGGGGAGGAAAAGGGAGAGACAAGACCTCCGTTTGTGGACAGCAAGCACGTTAGGCTGGCTCAGGATCTTATGAGACCTCATCCTAAAATGTGCTCTTTACTATGATAACCTCTACCTGAATATAACCAGCCATCCACTAGACTCCCTTGAGTCTCCTTTCCAGCTCTGATCATCTAGCAGGCTCGTGGCTTTTATGAAAGGCTTGTCACCCAGTATGTATTTGCAAATTTATCGAAGTTGCTGGTTTTTGTTACTTGTTCCTCCAAATCACTTTTGGCCTTGCTGTGTGTTGTTCTGGGCGCTGTTGGCATTGCTGTGTTCTTGCACTCAACCTGGCAAAGTTGGAGCCTTTCTCTGTTCATCATTTGGATGCAACTCCAGCTTTTTGAAATATATCTTCTCTTTTCGCGTAACTCCCTTATGCTGCTTATTGGCTTCATTTTACCCTGTCTAAAGTCCTTCTCGTTACACATTTGCTCTGTGAATCCAGTGCCATGACCTAAAGCTATATATATGTCAAATACACCAACTGTAAATACTCAAGACTCTTAGCTGTCTTTTGGCTTCTTTTTAACATACCTCCTTGTTTTTATGTAGTTTCCCTTTCTGAAGTTGCATGCAATTGTAGTTTTTGGGGGTTCTTTTGCTTTGTTGTTCTTGCAAGGATGTTGAATACAAGCATGTGCTGTCTCCTGTTCCAGAGAACAGCAACAGAAACTAGAAAGCAACATTTTGAGGCAGATCCTGTGCACTACTCAGGGCCAAGGCAAGGGTTGCCTCCTTTCCTAAAGGCTCCCTGAAAAGCTGATCCATGACACAGTCATTGGTAGCACCTTGATATTCAACCCCACGGGTGTTGCCAGTGCAGATGTCTAGGTGGTGTCTCTCATTACTACTGCATCTCCTGCCCCTTCTTCCTTTTTGCTCTCTCTCAGCATCTCATGGTCAGTGTTCCCACCATCATCAGATAATCAGAAATATGGACCCGGTGCTACATTTGTCCTGTGCTGGTCTAAAAAGCCGCACCATGAGAATACGAAGATATGAAGTCACAGTTAGCTGATTCACTGGATTGGACTCTAAGCCTGTTTTAACACATACTACTGCTCTACCACCAGTATAGCTACTTTAGCTATCAGTTTTATGGCAAAAGTAAAAATCCAGCCTACAGTCTTTGAGCCTACCTTGGTGACTAAGGCTTAACACAGTTGAAACAGAGAGCCACTAAACATGTGTTGCTCCTGGAGGCCCATCCCCATCACAAGTTACGATAACATAGTGCTGCTCTAGCTTTAAGCACTGGTCTGGGCCCTTCGGAGGGCACTGCTGCTCCCGCCGTGCCCTCTGCCACGCTGCCTCCGTTAATGGCCACCAAGCTATGGTGGCCAACAGCCTATTGCATGTGCATTGATATATATCTTTTGCGGGAAGTACAGCTGCCATTTCTGCTTGTTGGGTGTACGTATGTACACAGAACATACACAACTGAAGAACACATTGGTGAGCTGACAGAAAACAGCATAGCTAGCATTGGGGAACCGTCAATTTAGCAGGTCCTTGGCTCAGGAGTTCAGCTACCCATGACCCAAAGCCCCGTTCAGTGCAGCACAACTCTGTCACTTTGACTCACAGTTATGAAGAAAACCTACTAAGCTGTGAGAAACTACTTCAGCTAAAACAATGCAAGGTAAGAGAAATAAAAACCCAGGGAGAAGTATAATAAGTAAGATGGTCACAGCTAGCAGCTCAAAGGTAAAAGAGGGGGGAAAAAATAAATAAAATAAAAGAACACCACAAAAAAAAAACCACACCAACCTTCCACGGAAAGGAATAGAAACCATAGGGAAAAAATGAAAAAAAAAAAAAAAAAGAAAATTGGAAAAGAGCCACACCGTGGATTAGCTGATGCCCACAAGCAGCAGAGGCAAGCCCCTGTGCAGCCCAATGCTGTCTCCAGCTACCCCTCAGCAGCAGATTGGGATGCTGAGGATGACAAGGACATTAACTGTGAGACTAGTGGCTTGTTAGTCCTAGCTACGCGTACTACAAGACAGCAGGAGTTGCCAGGTGTAGTTAAACTCGCCTCAGGCAGGGGAAGATGCCAGCGCAGAAGTGCCTCAGCCAGGCAGCGCCATGGCAGTGCTGCACGGACCAGGATGCAGAGCTGGAGGAGACGGGGGCTGCGCGAAGGCTGGGGATGGCCACCATCCAGCACGCTGGTCCTCGCCGGCTGAGCACCAACCTAACCCGGCACAGGCCAGACGTGAGCTCCTGCCCCGATTGCCCCCAGCTGCGGCCCACGCAGCCGGACAGGGGCTTCGGCGGTGGCTGGGGAGGGCGCCAAGCACAGGCTGCTGTCACATGGAGCTTGGACGAGAAACAGGCGTGATGTTTCATTCCTCCCTGGAATGAGAGCTTTTACCTTGAATCAAAGGCTGGCTGTGAGACAGCGCCTAAGACCAAGTTATTTGGGCTGTAGCGCTGGGGATGACTTTTCCTGTTAAAGACACCACCTTGGGCCAGAGCGCTATTCCTTCCCCAGGTAATTCTTCTCCCCCATCCTCACGCAGAGATTACAGTTTGAGTCTTACCTCCCTCATGTGTTTGGCCTGCTTCGTCTCTCCTTTCCATTCTCTCGCACTATAACCAAGGAGATCAGCTTCTGTCAGCACACTGAGATTCCCTAAATCGAGATTAATTCATAGATTAGTTACCTTCTGCTGTTCTGCATTTCGGGGGGTGGAGGGAGCAGAATAAGGAATACAGAACAACAACAAAAAGATTACTTATGAGTTTTCTCTGAAGGTAATTGCTCCACCTGAAATCCAAATGATAAAACAGGTGTCAGAGAGGAGTGGTCAAAGGTCAATATTTACTTAAATAAGCAACAACGTGGAAGATTAAAGGATGGATAATAAAAACCTACCGTTTCAGTAGCTGTGCTAAAAAGCTGTATAGCTGCCTGCAATACCAACAAACAGCAACCAGGAAAGACATGCTTAGCATGAGCTGCACTTTCACTTTCTGCCACATGAGACACAAGGATTGTTTGGCAGCTGTTGTCCAGGACCGCACCTCATACCTTCCTAAAATCAGGATAAAACGAGAGAGAGGGAAAAAAAACCTTGTCACTGTTTTGCACTACTTGTTTCTCTTTGTTTTCTGACAAAAAAGAAAAATCATCCAAATATGATACCACTCCAAATGAAACACAAAACATGAAATGTAAAAGGTCAGTTTATTTTTATATACTTTATATACTTAGTTTTTCAAGTTTCTAGGGTTTTGGGTGCATGTGGTTCCCATTTCCAAGCTTTCCTCCACAAAGTGGAGCCTAGATATATAGTTACAGTGGAGTCACGGGAAGACTGGTATCAAAGCAACTGTTCCATAACCACAAAAAAAAAAAAAAATGCTTCAGGGTGTGCTGATCCAGAGACCTTTACTGTCATTACTTTGCCATTAAGTCAAGGGTTTAAAGACCAGAGGTTCCTGGGAGTTGTAGTCTACAAACAGGCCATATAAGGCAATATTAACTGACAAAGCATCATATGACTGCCAGGGGAATTAAAGGAATGTTCCTGCCTTCATTTGGGCAAGTTTAGGGTCAATCTAAAACTCTGGAGAAAGCTCCTCCCTGAGGATTTGGTAGAAAGCTGGGGAGATCATCACAAAGGGAGTGTGATCTCACTGTTCTTCACAGACATAAACAGGACAAGTTTCTGTCGCTGTCTTGGCGTTACGGGCAGGGTTATGGAAAGTTTTGGTTGTCTTTTGTTGATAAGAAACCCTAGAATTGAGAGAGGGCCTGGAGACTGAACAGTTGACACAGGCAGTGTCTGCTCCCTAAGTGAGAAATTTATGCTGAAATTTGAGTATAGGAAATTCCCAGAGTTTACGATCAGCAGCTGCTCTATTATTAACTTATTTATTGATTTAGTGCAAAACTTTAAGAGAATTCAACTTTTTATAAAGGCATCCCCAGAGAAGGCTGAAAAGATCCTTCTCCAGAGAGTCCACAAAGGGAATTACTCATTCAGCATAGTTTTATGTCAGTTGAACTTCTGCCCCTCCTGGCTTTAACAGGAAATTTAAGAGGGGCTTAAGTTTTCCAAGGCAGTTAAGCCCATGCACTGTGGACAACTATCCAGTCGTAGAGTTATGTATGAATCCCAGCCTTGGCAACAAGATAAACATTTCCGCATACATTTTTACAAGCGCTGTTGCATATATACAGAGCAGGGCTGATATTTGGCCTTTTCCAATATTCTGTTGTTTGAAGAAGTTTTATTACAGGATGTCATACGCAAGTCGTCCAGAGGCAGGACCCAGACCTCATCTCTCCCACGAACACAAGGCAGGTTAAGAGCTGTAAAGGAAAAGGTGTTAATAAACTTTAAAAAGAGGTAATTGGAGAAGCTTTTGGGGTGCTGGTTCCCATTTACACAAAACTCGTATTGCTGTGAACACTTTTCATACATCATGACGGAAAGGTTTTCTGTCAGCTTTTACTCATGTGCTGTGTTAACATGTGCGTTCCTGGCACAACCAGTGGTGTCCTGGTTTGAGACAGAACCGAACCCATTTTCTTTTCAGTAATTTTACTTTTCAGTTAAGCGTCCTCTAACCCTCTGAAATTAACAGTGCATTTTTCAGAGAGTATCTGCTTCTAGCAGATAATGTCTGATGTTTATAGTTGATGCGAAGGCATGGTATGCAGAGGGACTCCTTGCTTATACTTATTGCTATAACACCCAAGGGCAGATAACTGTTATTTGCCCCGTTGGAGGGTCAGAAGCAGAAAAGCGTAGAGGGGTCCCACCCGTGGGGAGGAGCGGACAGGACAGGTGACCCAAAACTGACCAACAGGGTATTCCGTCCCATCTGCCTCATGCTCAGTATAAAGGCTGAGGGATCAAAGGGTCAGCTCTCTTTCTTCAAAGGCCGGTGTCCGAGGAGGACTCTGTTCGTCTGTCTTTGATCCTGATCCGTGCGTTCCTGAATCTAGTTCCCATCCATTGCTGAGTCCAGTCTGGACTTTCCCAGTGCCAGCTGGTGACATGATAGTCATCCTAGGAGCTTGATACGGTTTTGCATCTATTGTATATATTTCATTATCTTCTTATTAATATTATTATCTTTCTCTTATTATTTTATGATTAATAATAGAATGGTTTAGGTTGGAAGGGACCCTGAAGATCTAGTTCCAAGCCCCCTGCCATGGGCAGGGACACCTCCCACTAGACCAGGTTGCTCAAAGCCCCATCCAGCCTGGCCTTAAACACCTCCAGGGATGGGGCCTCAACAACCTCTCTGGGCAACCTGTTCCAGTGCTTCACCACCCTCACAGTGAAAAACTTCTTCCTAATGTTTAATCTAAACCTGCCCTCTTCTAGTTTATAGCCATTCCCCCTCGTCCTGTCACTACATGCCCTAGTAAAAAGTCCTTCCCCAGCTCTCCTCTAGGTCCTCTTCAGATACTGGAAGGCCACAATAAGGTCTCCCTGGAGCCTTCTCTTCTCCAGGCTGAACAACCCCAGCTCTCTCAGACTGTCCTCATAGGAGAGGGGCGCCAGCCCTCCGATCACCTTTGTGGCCCTCCTCTGGACCCACTCTAACAAACAGGTCCATGTCGTTTTTATGTTGGAGGCTCCAGAGCTGAACACAGTACTCCAGGTGGGGTCTCACCAGAGGGGAGTAGAGGGGCAGAGTCACCTCCTTTGACCTGCTGTCCACACTTCTGATGCAGCCCAGGATACGGTTGGCCTTCTGGGCTGCGATCGCTCATTTCTGGCTCATGTTGAGCTTCTCACCTATCAGCACCCCCAGGTCCTTCTCCTCAGGGCTGCTCTTGATCCGTTCTCCGCTGAGCCTGTATTTGTGCTTGGGATTGCCCTGACCCAGATGTAGGACCTTACACCTGACCTTGTTGAACTTCAAGAGGTTGGCATGGGACCACCTCTCCAGCCTGTCCAGGTCCCTCTGGATGGCATCCCTCCCCTCCAGCATGTCTATATTAATATTTCATTCAAGTAGTTTAGTCTCTTTTCAACTCTAAGTGTCTCTCTCTCATTTTCTCTCCTCTCTGACCACGACAGAGGTAAAAAAGAGCATCCATCGTTTGTTTTAGTGTCCAGCCCAGCCCAAACCACAACTGGGGGTTACGCCTGTACACACCAAGTAGGAAAAAGCCAGACATGCATTCATATGCAACCAAAAAGTCCAAAAATCTGAAGCTGCAGGAAGCATTTATTACTGATGCCAAGTAACAGACAGCAAAACATCAGCTGTAAGGTTCGAAAATGGCATAGCTCATGGAAAAAACGGGACACTCCCACTTACTGCACACTCACACACTTACTGCTGATGGACACCAACAGGCACATTCTTAATAAGCACCCAAATTGCTACCTAGAGAACAACTATTGAGAATTAGTAACAGACGACAGTCCTGGCAGAATCAAGCAACCACAATTTTTTCTCTCTCTTCTTTAGGATAAAGTCATCAGCACTGAAAAAACCTCAGCAGACTGTAAATAACTGAACTTTCTGCTAACTAGAATGAAACCTGAAGGCTTACAATTGTGGTTCAGCCCATGGATCAGTGGGTATTCTGGATTCATACTGTCACACTGTTGTATGAAAACCAATGATGATTCAAACAGAATTTGTTAACAGCAATTTAAATATACGGTATCAAAAGGAAGGTCCAGCAGACTTTCGTTTCATTACTTAAAATGACTCTACGGTCCCTCTTTTGATTTCAAACAAACTGGGACTATAAAAATAAGAGCTGGTCCATCTGTTCAAATGACGTATTTTGCTTTATTGAGTACCAGGAATGCAAAATGTCTTCCTTTACCCCTTTTACTGGCAAAAAGATGAGAGGCTTGCATCATCATGAGCTTTGAAGTTGAAGCAAATAATCGTTTAAAGAAGGTTTTGATGGTATTAATCCTGAAAAAAAACCTACTGGAGTCCAACAAACCCCCTTTCAAGGCACACGAGCAACTATTCTTCAAGGAGCTCTGGGAAGCACTGGCTTTCTGATTTCAATCAAAAATGCAAATAGATGTCAGAGAACGTCAGATAACCAAATATTGTTCATCCATCTTTAATTACTGTAGGAGATTTATAAGTAGGTATTTCCCTAATAGAAAGCCTAATGGGAGGTAGAAAAACCTGCAAACAAGTGATTTTGAGTATTTTTGCTACACTTGTATTAGAGCATACTCTGGACTTCATAAACTTTCTCTCCTGTCATGGGAAAGCTGCTGTTCAAACAGCACTTCGTGATTCAGTTACTACTTTCAGTGCTTATGTCACACTTAGAAATGTAATTACATTTTTTATTCAAGTGAATGACATTTAGAAGTGGCAGCTGGATCACAAAGTGCCTCTGGTAAAAATACATCACGAACAAGACATGAATTAAAGAAGAGGGCAGCTTAAAATAGATCTTTCCACCCCCTCCCTGCCCTCTCCAAAATTCTTCAGAAACCGAAGAGCAATTAAATTAATAACGTGGGTGGGGGTGGGGGTGGGGGTGGTAAAATAAACCCATGGATTTTTAAACCCTGTGCATTCCCTGGGATACGAGCACAATTCATCCTGCTCCTCAGGAGACAGCGACAGCCTGTCAGTGCTGTGACCGGCTGCTGGGGCTCACATCTCTTTGAAGACTGACCATGAGCATCACCGCGGGGACAGGGAGGCCGACTCTTCTTCCATGCTGGAGCGTAAAGCCCTGGGACTTCCAAGACAGCTCCAAGCAGAAATTTGGATGAACAGAGGTTGAACAGCGCTGAAGTAGGAGCTGATAGCAGTGTTTATCTTGCACTGCAAGTAGTACACCATGTTTTCTTTTCATGCCACATCAGCAGCTTCCTGTTAGTGCCAAACCTTAAGCTTTCAGCCCCATACAAAGTCAGCAGGAGACGCAAACAGAGTAAAGAAAAGGAAAAAAAAACAACAAAAAAGGCCAGTAAAAGATGAGTAAGACACATCTGCTTCTTTCACAAGTAACTCAAGAA